TTACACGTTCTAGTATGTGATGATCTGCAAATGTGATATTTGAATATGATAGACCCGTTATTCTATATCAGACCCAATATGTTTTTTATGTTTGTAATTAGAGAAGTGTTATTTATCATCTAATTTTTTTAGCAGAAGAGTGGGTACCAAAATATCATACCAATAAATTATATATATATTTATATATAATCATAATTATTTGAAAGAGAGAAGAAATTTTACTATTTACAAAAAATTAGCTGATAAATAACACTTCTCTTACTATAATTAAAAACTATGACAATTACTATACAAACATATATTTGCTGTGTTAGTACAAAACTATATGTATAACAAAGATATAAAAGATAATCAATTACTTTTTGCATTAAATTTTATTGAAATTTTTTAATCTACAAATTTTTTACAATTTTAAAATAATAAAAATTTTTAGCTTTTAAATTGCAAAAAAAAACTTAATGCACTTAATGCGATTGCTGCAGAATAAAAAATATATAAAAAAAGAATATTTATAATCTGTAAATAGCTCTCTAGCAAGTTACTCAAATAGAACAAACAAGAATAGCAAAGGTTAAATTTATTCTCAAGTTACCAATAACAATGAATCAAGGATTTATCAAATAGCATCAAGCAAAACAAAAAGGTATTAAGTTTGATTTTTTTTTTGTACATGTATATAATCTACTAATTAGCAAACTAGCAGCAGTACGTATTAGTATCAAATCTATTATTAATTAGCAAACTAACAATAGTATTAATTCGCATGTTAATTATTTTTTATTTGATGAATTGATTTGTAATTTCTATTTAAAAAAGAATTTGTGATATATATAAATATTTTCGCTTCTTTTTTTTAAATAAAAAAAAAATAAAAAAATAAAGTACTATATTTTGTTAAATAAAAATAAAAAATATTTCGAAAATTCAATTTTTTTTTAAATAGGTTAAGTATTTCGAAAGTTCTTTTTTTTTAAAAGAAAAAATATTTTGTAAAGAAAAAATATTTCGATTTTTTTTTTTAAAAAAAAAATAGTTCGTAAGTTCGATTATTTAAAAATAGTGATAAATCTTTGTGGTGGATTTATCCAATTAGAGACAAATTTCATACGACCAATCACAACTGGTGGGGGAAATTAGGGCTACTAGCTACTTTGATACCAAAATAATAATAATTGTCACAATAAGACGATTCTAATGAGCACAAATCATCAAAATCCAATCATGAATCCCAAAATCGTTAAAGGTTTGTGCATAACCTATATCGATCTCTGGATTCTCTAATTGGATTTAATGATTTTATGCTCGTTAGAATTGTTTCATCGAGACAGTCATTTTTATGGCAAAATAGTTCAAACGGACTCGTGGATCAAAAATTATTCATTATCAAGAGTGTATATTAAGGTAAGTATGCGTGAAATTTATATTTTATATGATGATATCTCGTAATCTAGTGATCGAAATTGGATGATTCTTATACCATTCGACTCATCTCAATAAGACAAATCGAATGGTAAAAGAATTCACCCAATTTGATCACTAGATCACGAGAAATATTGATTGGCCACATCCCATTTACCTTAAATTTTAGTATAAAAAATAAATAAAAAATATAATTAATATTTATATATATATATTAATTTCCAATTTTTTATTTATATATACAAACTCTTCCCAATTTAATAAATTACACCCCCAAAAAAGTTCTTCCATACAATAGCTTAATTTGATTGGACAAATTAACCGATAACGTATTGCTAGTGCTAAAATCCATAGTTAATAAGTGCTAAAACTTCTAAAAAACTCTAATTACCGATTAAATTAATATTAAAAAAAAAAAAAAAAAACATAATATTACAATCCCATTAACAGTAGGTTTAATGTGTTTTTTTTATAAAATTTATATATTCAAAACAAAATCTTTTACAATTTAAAGTGTCGGGTATCTAAACTTTCCGTACCATAACATTTAATGGTTTGTCGTTTAATCTTTCCCGGCAAAACGCAACCAAAGTTTCATTACATGAAGGACGATTAATACAGCTTTCTAAAGCCTGTATTGATATATTTGTTGGAGCAGGTTGGTCATCCTTTGATATTGGGCAAAAAGAAAAATTGAGATTCGGCAATTCATGATACAATGCCAAGAGTTCACTAAGAATATCAACATCTAAAAGAAGCTTAAATCATTAATTTGCTCGAAAAAATAAATGATAAAGCCTTTATATTACTCACTGTTTACAAATCTCAAAAGATCTGGATAAATTAATCCCCCACATTTTTTAATTAATGGTAGAACTATTGGCCGAAACATCCGATCGCGCCAATATGGCCAACCACATTGGGATAAAACAATTATGTTACCCAATGTTTGGTCCAGTGAGTGATATTTTTTTGCATTAAGTTCTTTCTATAAAGATTAATGAGAAGAGAATAAATATCAAAAATACTTAAAAAAGAGCAAGCGACACAACAAAACCATAATTTAGCTACCTCAAAGCATCTCATCAACTCCTTAATAGACCTCACCATCAAATATTCTTGTGTAGTTTCTATCCATTTAAAACCTTCACGTTTACATACCTCACTGCACGTGGTGCTCACCATTTTTTTTCTATTCACAAGCCAATCATCTTTTTCAAAATGTTCTTGTGTGATTGGGGTAAATGGTATCGAAACCAAAATCATATATAGCTCAACACATGCTTGAGACCACCAGTCAATTGCAAGGTAAAGAATAGAAATAGAATAACACACTCGAAAAAGTAGAAGAAGAGGTATCTGTTCTTTTATCGAAAATTCATCTGTAGATGTAGGGTCTAATTCATCATCCTGTGTTGACTGTGCACTCGGATATAGAGATGATAGTGAATTACGATATTTTTCCTTTTTACGATGTTTGTTCCAGGCACCTGAACTGCGAGAACATATTTCATGATAGAATGCGTTCGCTTCTCTCAATTGTCCATGCGACAAAGCAATATCACCGCGTGTTAATAATATCGCGTTAGAAACGTCAAATGGAAGATTCCATTCATCTATAAATCGTTCCAATTCTGTATGAAAAAAAATAAATTGTTGATTATTAGCTTATCGTACCTCTTTATAAACTATCGAAAACATCTTGATACAATACCTTTTTCCAAAACCTGCGTTTCACCATCAACGCGTTCAACTAGAGAAGCACAGAGTTTCCAACAATTTAATGCCCGTTCCCTGTATGACATAGCTTCTTCAATATAAATGTCTGAAACACTGTAGTTTTCTGTAATTTCGAAGAGCATAAAAGATCGTAATATAAAAATTAACAATAATTCTTACAAAACGATGATAATCGAAAAAACAATTATTTTGCAATAGTATACCTTCCCATTCTTTAAATAAATTTTGTAGACGCGTATCTAGCTGTTCTCTTCCCATTACTGGAGAATCAATTCTTTGTGGATGTGGTTCTTCAATTAATAAATTCTTAACATTCATAATGTTCCTCACACTGTTATT